GATTCAGCATGTTTTGTGCTGCTTTTGTGTCTTGAGTTGCATTGTTCAAAAAGTGTTGCGCTGTTAAAAAACCCCATACGCTGTTAAGTTGGAACTTATTAAAAACAGCTACTAGAAAAAGTAAAAACACTTAAAAAGACAACATAATAAAGTGATTTAAAGCTTTTGTACATATCTTACATTGTCTTTCAGAGTCATTTCTGTACATTACTTGCACATGAAGGGTACCAGAACACAATGGAGTGAATGAGCATTATCTGGTATCACTCTGAAAGGAGTAAACCACAGTTTGATGGACCCAACTTTGTCTAAAAGGGTGTAAGGAAACAATAATGAGTTTTCTGACACCACTGTTATGTAAAAACAATAATATGAGGCAAGCTGACTGAACATGACTAGCTGCCAGTCGTAAACACTTCATGCGTCTAGTCGCAAACGACACTGTCCTTTTAGTGTTTCTTTTTCTAAATCTACATTCGGTCAAATTGACCATTGGGTAATTGTCAATTGAGTAGTCCAGAAATTCATACGAGATCCATTTCATCAATAAAGAAAAAATATAATTAATAGTCAAAAAATTTTTATTTCAATGCGGATTATTGCTTTACATGTTCACTGATTCACTGAAAATTGGAATGTAATGCAATAGTTGGATTCCAAATTATTTGACATGGATGATGGTAGTGGACAGAAGTGTTTGTGTGTGCAGTTTCTCAGTTTGGTCCTGCTGGAGTTTCATGGTGGCTGAACAGAAGGAGAGATGTTCTTCATGTGTTAGAGCTGCTATAGAGGACCTTTGAACTGATTCCCAGAGAGCTGCTGTCGGATGGATGGCTTTGATCCTGCTGCGTCACCGAGCTTTCGCCACACCACCTGAACACAAAGGGACGAAGTCAAAAAACAGCTGTGCCACTTTTACATGCTGTATATCAGTGCAAAACCTGCATCTTATAAGCTGTTGGCATTTTCAGTGCTCTCCTTTCTTATTTAGAACCTATACTTAGAATTTAGAACCTATACTTAAGAATGAACCAATTCATTTAGTATGTTCTGTAATATTTGCTTTCTGTGTTCAGGTTTGAATGTAGTAATAATAATGCAAAAACCTACACTTCAAATCAACATTTGAAACAACAAAAATATAAACCTTGACAAAAAGTAGTCTTTGAGAATGCCTTAATTTACATTTAAATGATACATTCTGTAATATTTTGTCTAAATAACAAAAACAATAAAATTTTAAATAAATAATTTTACTAAGTAAATTTAGACATCACAATAGTACAGTCAGAAGATGGATTACCATTTTCAGATTTGAATTTAAAGATTACATTTGGCAAGTGTTTAAATCTTAGGGTCAGATTTACAAATTAGTGTGAGACCCCAATCCCAAAAAAGCATCGATGGGAGTGAACAGTTCTGCTGTTGGTCAACTAACATTGTGCAAATGAAAGACCAATGCAATCTACCAAGAGCAGTGCAAATTAGCAACTATCACAGCCATGTCAAGAGCAAAATGGGTTATGCTTTTCTGGGCATTAAAAAAATGGTGCAAACACCAGTAAACTGACTACTGCAAACCTAAGTTGTATTGTATATTTAAACCCTTGTGCGGTCTTCGGTCACTTCTGACCAGAGAATTTTACATTTTGAATTTTTTTAAATCATTACTTCACCAGAATGGTATGAAACTTGGTGACTTTTATGGCACTTGGAATGTGAACACACAAAAAAATTGAGGGCATGATTCGAAAAAGCTAAGTGGTCGTAAAAAAAAAAAAAGTCACACTCATGGTCTTCGGTCAAAAATTACCGATCATAGAAAATGAATGGGAAATGGGGAAAAAAAATCTAAAATACAGAACATTTATGTGTACAATCTACAAATCCCCCACAACGCAGAAAAAAAATGCACAGCAATGAAGGAGTGAAATTCTAAAACATCTAGAGTGCAAAATCAAAACACCAACTCACGGACACACACTTGTACACACACCTATGAACTGGTGTGACTGTAACACTGCAACTATGTAAAATAAAATCAATAATGCAGTAAAAAAGTGGACAGCAAGGAAGGAGTTACAGTCTTAAACATCAAGAGTGTAAAACAGATACATCCACTCACACACACTTACTTACACACACTCACAGACACACATAATTATACATAGTCAAATGAATTGGTATGGCTATAACCATATAGCCAAAATGAGTCAGAAGACTGAAATAAGAGGTTAAAATCAGATCAGACCCAGAAGGATTAAGCTCTGATAAAGCATTCCTGGTAGTTTTTTGTAACATTGTTATAGAATTTTTATGTTTTGTGTAACAAAATGCTTTCTGTGTTCAGATTTGAATGTAGTAATAATAATGCAAAAACCTACACTTCAAATCAACATCAACAAAAGTAGTCTTTGAGAATGCCTTAATATACATTTAAATCCACAACCTAATAAAAGTAAACAATTATGTATAAAAACAACTAGGGAATTCACAAGCCTCTCTATAGAGTCCTATACAGGAATCTAGTGGTTACACCATGAAATTACAGGTTTTTCTTTTTTCTTTTTGCTCTCACCAGGAGGTGCTATTCTGCCTTCAAAAATACCTGAACCAATACCTGAACTTAACACCTACCTTACTAACTATGAATAAGCAGCAAATTAGGAGTTTATTGAGGTATTAGGAGTTTGGATGCCTTAAAATAAAGTGTGACCCCTCACAGTAGTTTCTTTAACGCCAAAAGAGGGTTTGCATTGGCACAAGCTGTGAGTAAATCCTTAGTGTCCTTAATTAGCATTAGATGATGGAAAATGCAATCAAATGTAAGCAAAAATCTAATGGAATCTAAAGTGGAATGAGCATGTATGATTAAATGACTAACATTAACCTTTTAAAAAATGAAAACAATTTTAATATTGGCTGATGATAATGATATATTGTGCATCCCAATTATAATTTATTTACATTGTCCCTTTTTCACATAAAGTCACAGTTATTCGATTGGCGTATTTAACATTATGTTACAATCACCCATAGAAAGTAAGTGCAAACAAGCCAAAACATCCATCAAGAACTCTTATGAACAGAGTTCACAATGGTGTTGAACAGGCCAGGAGTTTCCAGGTGAGAAGGACAGAGGTGTTATTGTGCTCAGAGCTGGGTTTCTTCATTCCCACATTCCACTGAGGGGCCCAACAAACAGATCAAACTATCATGAGCTCTGTGTACCAACCTGTCCATTCACTGACCCCTCCATAAACTACACCCCCTTGGTGACACTTCCTCGTGAAAGGAAGCTTTAACAAATGTTCCATTAAGGAATTAGACATTTCTGTGAACAGTGTGACATTTTTGGAAATGTAAAGCATTTTTATCTGCCATTGTTCTTTAAATAGTTACAATGCATTAATTTGATTAAAAACACTAGAGAATGTCAGAATTTAGGCAAACTTTTCTGACATTTAGCTGAAAGGAGAAAAGCCTAATTTAAAAATGATTACGTGACGACAATGGCAACTACATTGTTTTGCGATAAATTCTATAGAATTCTATTTAAAAATTTGCTAACAAATAGGAATATGTATTCACATTAAAATAAGCAAAGGCTTGTCTCAAAATTGGGTACAGCAACAGGTGCTAAAGTTGATAGGATTGGTCAGTAATGTTTTAAGGCTGAACTAGCAAAGGGTCAACTGAATGAATGGAACATCACATTTTTGGATCGTGCACGATGTGTTTTAGCAAGCATGACACACGTATTGCAAAAATCTAAACAAATACTCACGTTGCACATCTCTCGCACTATGGCTTTCTCTTTCTCACTAAGGTCTTCTTCACTTTCTTCTGGAAGCTGCTTGTCCAGATTATCATGGACCTCCAGAACCTAGTTAATACAGTTAATACAATCGCGATTAATCGCATCCAAAAGTTTTTGTTTACATAATATATGAGTGTGTACTATGTGTATTTATTATGTATATATATATATATAAAAATACAAACAAATGCAAATGTATATATTTAAGAAAAATATGTTATGTTTATATATTAAACATATTTTGAGAAAAAAAATTAACTTCAATGATTTTAGCAAATGGCTGCAATATAACAAAGAGTGAAAAATGTAAGGGGGTCTGAATACTTTCCGTACCCACTGTATATATGCATAATGAACAAACACAGTACACATACATATATTATGTAAACAAAAACTTTTATTTTGGATGCGATTAATCGCGATTAATCGTTTGACAGCACTAGTTTAAACGCTTAGTTTTGAACAGTATATCTACTGTTTTATCAATTGTAACCTGTTTTGTTCAACGTTTTGATTAAAAAGCTTTATAGTGGTTTTTCTATATTTAAATACATTCTATTTGGTTTGATAACGTGTGTGAAAATGGGTGTACCTTCATGGCATGAACCACAGCTTCAGGTTTCTGTACAGATGAGACAAACCCGGTGGAAGGAGAAGACTCACTGGTCTGTAGCCTTGCAGTCCCCTGGAGAAGAAAACACATGTTAGTTTGCTCCTGGCCAACATACTGGTTAAAGGACCTTTTTTGGGGGGATATGGTATCATGGAAGCATACACTACTGTTCAAAAGTCTGGAGTCAGTAAGTTTTTGTTTTGAAAGAAATGAATATTTTTATTCAGCAAGGATGAATTAAATTGATCAAAAGTGACAGTAAAGATTTTATATTAATACAAAAAAAAAGGTTTAATTGCTGATTTAATTGCTGGTTTGTTGAAAAATGATAATTTCAGGGTTGTCTCCTGCCTCGCTGTAACCACTTTTCAAACCAAACCTACGCCTTGTTGTAAAAGCTAAGGGCACAAAGTTAAAAACATAAAAACATCCTGCTGGAAAACATCACCTAAAACCATTGAAACATGGTAGCTGGTTTATAGCTGGTCATTAGTGGGTCCAGATTGGTTTAAATGGTCAACCAGCGGAAGGACAGAGAGGTAAATGTTACCAAGAGTTTTGTAGAAATTTGATGATTGCCCATTCATTTCCATAGAAGCCAAGATGACTGGAGAGTGACTGCTTTTTTTTAGATTAGCAGCTACCAGATAACTAGCTGAGCTGGTAGATCATTGTGCACCAAAAAACAAACCAGCTCATGTGCATTATCATCATGCAGTCCTGTTCTCATTGGTGATGTATTAACTAATTCATCATTGTTAATGATCTGTCTTAACTCAGAGATATGAGGATCATTCATAATGAAAACTACGTTCCATCTAAAACATTCATCTTTGCAGCCCAGACAGCTGTGGAGGACAAAAACCCCTGGTTGTGTTTAATCATTCATACCGCATGAAGAGAGCCGGACATGATCCGCATACATTCATGCCAATGATGACTGCAAAACACCCCATTTAAAAAACACGTGTGTGTTTTGCTGTGTGCCGTGATCAGGATGATCTAATAAGCATTTAATACACCTCTCTATGTCTTTCATAAGGGAGCTTATCAATCAAAGCTTCTGGAAGGAAGAACTCTTCAGAATTTGAAATGGTTCCCATAGAAACACCATGCAGAAATCTATTTTTAAAGGGTTAAAGAAAGTCATCCACACTCTGTTTAGACTAATAAGTGCTGACTAAAGAGGACAAACTGTAGTGTCAGTTCTTAGACAGCAAAACTGGGATTGAATACAATTGGCATGGTTCTAATACGTCGAAAATTATGTACTTTTCCATGTAAATGTCATCAAGTAATTCGAAAATGAATGTCAGTTGTGAGTTTGTCAACAAAGAGTTTTGGATTCTGATAATAAAGACGGAATGGGGAAAAGACAATTCAATTATTTCAAGTAAACCATACTGTTGATAAAAATAGGACAATTAAAAACAACACTGCCAGAACTAAGCATTAAAAATGGGTTTAGAAGAAGAAAAATGCAAACAAATGAATGGAACAGGTTAAATAGTTCACACAACCACATCCTATTTGCGTGAGATTTATCAGCAATATTCACAACATCAACATTTTACAATGCACATTATGCAATATTACTAAACGCCTCTAAATCATGAAAAACAAAGTCTCTAATGCACAAGGAACTCAAAACATTTCTAAAAAGCCAATACTTCTGTATATTTGCCACATGCAGTTATTTCAACAGCCAATGTTGTATGAGAATTATATTCATAAATGTTCCATATGTTTAACATGTAAATAAATACATATGCGTTTGGTCTTGTTCTGTATCGCGTATCTTGTCAGTGTCTGCGCTTGCTTGGCCATTTGTTGTGGAGAAAATAAGGAAAGTGTGTTCAAGCGCCAGCAGAAAACAGTGTAAAGAAATACTCTTTGAGAGAAGCAGTCTTTAACAGCGGAAGTTAAAAGCAGCTCGTAAGTGTATTTACTTGTTTCATTAGTGTTTAGCGCAGTTGTCATTGCTAGGAAACTCTTGTTTTGTTTACTGTGTGGAGACGTGCTGAAATCGCGTTTGGTCTCATTCTGTATCGTGTATCTTGTCAGTGTCTGCGCTTGCTTGGCCATTTGTTGTGGAAAAAAATAAGGAAAGTGTGTCCAGCTGAATTAATTTTGTATTTTGTTAGACGGGTATAAAAAAGCTTAGTTTACCGCGGCAGCCGTAGCGTGAAGGCCTCCTCGTGTGAAGACCGAAGAGTGTAAAGACCATCGACTCCACCGGGCAGAGACCCCGGCAAAGGATATGTATCGCTTTTTATTTCTCCTCTTTCCTACTACTTGTTTCGCTTCTGTTTCAGTTTTTATAACCATTTTTTACTATGTGTAAGCAAGCTGTTGATTTTTAACATGTGTTATTTTAATACTTCAACAAGCTAAATGGAAATGAAATAATATATCTCTTTTTAAAATGTGTATAGGTAGTATTTATAAAGTTTTAGCTTTTAGTTTTGGATCTGTTTTTAGTTGTTTTAATACTACAATTGATTGCTTCTGTTGTCCTCATTTGTAAGTCGCTTTGTATAAAAGTGTCTGATAAATGACTAAATAAAATAAATAAATAAACATCTCAACATGTTAAAAGATTTCATTAAAGTTTGGTCTGTTGTACTGGTATTTTTTATTTTTTTTTATGTAGTCAAATAAAATATTATAGTAACAATTTAGCATAGGGAACAATTCTCACTAGTAACTACTTTATAAGCATGCCTATTACTAACACATTGGCTGTTTATTAATACTTATAAAGCACATATTCTGCATGATCATATTTTACATCCCAAATCCTACCCAAAACTTAACAACTACCTTACTGACTATTAATAAGCAGCAAATTAGGAGTTTAAGTCGAAGTTACTGATTTGTTAATGGTGAGAATTGGACCCTAAAATAAAGTGTGACCAATGTTATTTTCGTCAGATAAAATGTGAACAAATTAATTGCTTATGCAATGAAAAGGAATTAAACGATTAGTGAACTAAATCAGCTTAGATTAGCTGTCTTTAATTATTTTATGTACCTGATTAATCATTGGCTAATTTTACACACAAAACAATATGTGATGGTAATGTCTGATGCCTTTGTTCACTGCTTAGAAGTGACACCAAAAATCTAGAAAACATGAAAGGTCAAATAAAATACACAGGCACATGACCCGTTTTCTCAAAGGAGATGCTGAGTCAAAACAATTCAATTCAAGCTCTGCATTAACGCTGTAAAGACTTTCAGCTGACAATGGCAAGATTTTCACACAAGCATGCAACATGAAACACAATGGTGAGACTTCCTGTGCATTGGCTGAAGGCTACATGTTCAAAGGCGCATTTGCTTTTCCATTTATTCATTCATCGTATTTTCAGTAGGTCTGCTAATTTTCCAAGGGAAAATGAAAGGAAAAAGTTTTCAAAAGTAGGAAAAGTGCCTCCAGTTCTATACAGGAAAAGCCTATAGCAGTCTATACCAGATGAAAGATTTGATGCACCAAGGATCTCCTTTTTTCCCCACATTGTTGCTGAATAGAGCTAAACTGATTAGGCTGAGTTATCATTTTGGAACAATATCCCATGATATCTAATTTGAGCTTTTTTTTAATAGGGCTGTCAACTGATTACAAATTTAAATCTAATTAACTTAATGATTATACGTGCTGATTAATTAACTGAATTAAACAATATTTACTGACAAAAGTATCTGAAGACATTTGTGTTGAGACAAATACATCACCAAACAAATGGCAAAAAGTTTATATTTATTATTGTTTTATTATTAAACAGAATCCCGTCACTGTCCAGCAGGACTTTTATTCTTGTATATATCAAGCGTATGCACATATGTAGCCTGACTTGACAAATTATGTACATTTGTTATATATTTTTAAAGATCACATTACCAAATTTTCTGGGGGGGGGGGGACCATAAGTTGCATTGGTGTATGTCACATTTTACTACTGCATTCAGAAATGAGGTAAAACACTAATAAATAAAATGAATGGTCACACTTTATTTTAAGGTCCAATTCTCGCCATTAACAAACCATTAACTATGACTTTTGCCTCAATAAACTCCTAATTACTGCTTATTAATAGTTAGTAAATTAGTTGTTAAGTTTAGGAATGTAGAATATGGTCATGCAGAATTATATGCTTTGTAAGTACTAATAAACAGCCAATATGTTAATAATAGGCATGCTAATAAGCAACTATAGTGAGAATTGGTCCCTATACTAAAGTGTTACAAAAACGAATCATTTACAAATATTATAAACACTATAAACATTTAAATTCCCCTCACTTCACAAAAAATCCGTTAAATTTACTGGTATTCAAAACGAAGCAGGAATTTAAAAAAGCTAAGGATAAAACAAACATAACTTATTCTGACATCCATTATAAACAGCCTAAACAAATTTATTTAAAGCAAAACTTAAACTATGGATGTGTGGGAAATCTATCATTTCAAATATGTGTGCTTCGCGCACTTTTTTCTCAATTTGCGTTACTTAGGACTACGTCGCTTTGGAATATTAGTCGCAGCAAATTCAGATGATTAAAAAAGGGAAAATACGGCAAATGAACATGCTAAAATATGCTTGGATTGATTTGTATGTACAGTTTCTGAGGATCACTCACATTCAGTAGGGCCTCCTGCTTCTGGGGGAGCGAAGACAGCTGTGATTCTGAGCGGTAGAGGGTCATGCCCTTCCGCAGGACTCGCAGGTCCACCGGATTACACTGTCGAATGACACGAGAGGGAAAGAGAGACATTATGACTCGGTGCATATTAAACATCCCATTGAGTTAAACATACTTTACTGTTCTCAAAGGAAATAAAAGTGACAAGAAAAAGTCGTGAAAAAAGTGTGTGCAAGAATGTTTTTTTTAAGTCTGGAGATCACAGCCGGTATGAGAAAAGTTGCTTTAAAGGGATAGTTCACCCTAAAAAAAAGATAAATCTGTCATTTAAAGGTACAATATCTAAGTTTTCACCGCTAGAGGGCGCGTATTCAAAACAATCACAGAAACAAAGGCGTAGTTTGATGACGCCGAGACTGAGTGTGGAATCATGGGAGTTGTCGTCTTCATCCCCACAGCCGACGCAATCCGACGGGACTCGGGCAGAAATCATGTTCATGGATGCGCTAATGTATTAAAGATGTATTAACGTCGTAGTATGAAGCAGATTGAGGCGGAAAGTCCTCAAAGTGAAACGAGGCCGCTGAAGCAATTGCTAATGAGAGACGAGCGTGACACACGGCTCGAAAGCAGCGTAGCTTTTATTATGCCACACTTTAGCGCTTCCGCTCCTTCCAGTCGTGCGTATGTGGGATAAAGCAGCGCTGTTTTATCATACTAGATACGTTTGAAAGTTCTGTTATAATGCTACTCTGTGCGGTCGTCACTTGTCTAATAAAACGCATAACATGTCTTTGGTGTTTCTGAAACAAGGCCGCTGAAGCAATTGCTAATGAGAGACGAGCGTGACACACGGCTCGAAAGCAGCGTAGCTTTTATTATGCCACACTTTAGCGCTTCCGCTCCTTCCGGGCGTGCGTATGTGGGATAAAGCAGCGCTGTTTTATCATACTAGATACGTTTGAAAGTTCTGTTATAATGCTACTCTGTGCGGTCGTCACTTGTCTAATAAAACGCACAACATATTAAAGCATCTTTGGTGTTTCCATGTTTTCTACAAAACCGGAAATCGAGGGGTTATGACGTCATTGGCAGGCGCCACAAAGGCACTGTAGACACGGTCCGTGTCACTTGTTAAAATTGCTTATTTCTCTGGATTGAAACATTCTTCGAAACATTTGGGATAATGTAAGTACACAAGTCAGCAAAATATGTAACACTGTTCTAGTGGTTTTTGGATATTTTAATAAAAATATCTTACATATTGTGCCTTTAAGTTGTCACTTAAGTTCTTCCAGACCTGTGTGAGTTTCTTCCAGTTGACGGTAGCCATTGACTTTCATAGTATTTTATGGGAGTCGACAGCCACCGTCAACTGTGTGGTTACCAACATTCTTCAAAACATCTTCTTTTGTTTGTGTATACCTGCATATCGATAAAATCAGATCAACTTTCGAAATAGCAAGTCTGACTTCAAAGTTGCGTTCTGTTGCACTTTCCCAAGTGTGAAGTTTGAAATTCAGAGTTTCTTAGATGAATGGAGCTCAGCACCAAAACAAACCCTCACACAGCATCCTGCACCTCCTTTAAGTGTTCTTGTTCATAGAAAGTGAGCTGGAATCTCTTCATGCTGCTATAATAAAGACACCCACAGGCTCCAGCTGGCAACATCTCTAATCACCGTTTCAATGTCTTGCTTTCATGTTCCCTGAATGCATGTGATCACTATAAGAAAGACCTATATATAACCCTGTCACTCTCTTTTAGAAGAGAAACTGTGTTTAAGGGGGCTGCAAGGAGCATGTGAACTTCACATCCGCCTGCAGCCTAAACATACTGTATCACCCACTAACCATCTATGGTATTTAGGACACCTTGATCAAGGACTGATGTACTTGTGTAGACAAGTACAATTTTGTTTGTATGCACTTTCTGTAGAATTTGATGAAGAATACACACACACGTTTTATGGGGACAATCCATAGGCGTAATGGTTTTTATACTGTACAAACTGTATTTTCTCTCCTTACTCTAACCCCATCCCTAAACCTACCCCTCACATAAACTCTCTGCATTTTCACATTTTCAATAAACTTTAATTCTGTATGAGGAAGCTTGTTTCCTCATGGGGACCAAAAGAGTCCCTACAAGGTCAAAACTCACTGGTATTACTATACTTTTGGGGGCATTTGGTACACAAACACAAATTTTATTTTAATTTTACTTGATATATTTCAGTGTGGGAGGGACAATAAATGATTTAGTTGCATGCAATGCTTTAGTTGCTGTTAATTATTATTGTATTTTAACACATATTTTCATTATTTTACAAACATACTATATAATTTGCTGACCTCCTAGGGCAATGACTCTCGATCAGGGGCCCAGAGCCCACCAGAGGGCCTGGGCAAGTATTCAGGGGGGCCACAGAATGACTTAAAAGTATTTTAATCAAAAACGATTATTATTATATAACGTTATTATAAAATGTATGGTTCTCTTTAAATGATTTAATGGAATTATACAATGGGTTCCAGAAGTCGAAAGTGCGTCTATGTAGTTATATTATCTTTATTTTTTAAATGAACCTGAAAGCACTGAGGGAGTGTCAGAATTCCTGTGGACTGAGGTTATTTTTCCATCACTGAGGCAACAGGAACTGCTGGAATGTAGCCTGTTTAAAGGGCCAAAATTCCTCACCTGACCGTATTGTTGCTCTGACAACATCAGATAAATAAATTAGTGAAACATATGGCTAAGTAAATGTTCCGCACATGTAATTACCAGAATGGATAGGATCAATCCTGTCACTCAACAACAGACTAGTCAGTTACTGAGGTCGCTACACAGTTTAAAAACCCCCTGAAAATGCACCGGTAATTTTCTGCCAGTTCATCACCTAGTCATTTTACAGATATTTCTGTTAACCCTAAAACACCAAATTCAAAATACAGGTACAAAACAAAGCTACAAAAGCTGTCACTGGGATGGTATCTTTTCAAAATGTACTAATATGTACAATTTCGGTACTAATACGTACTTTTAAGGTACTATTTGGCACCCTTTAGGGACAAATAAGGTATAAAAGTCACTTTTTGATGGACCCTAATTACAGGGTTTCTTTATGACCCTGTCAACTATCATTCAGACAACCCAAAATCTAGTCAGTTTTGAAAAAAAATGCACAACCTTATTTTGCTGGACAGTCAAATATGATTTTAAGCAATTCGACTGGATTTAAACACAACAGACAGCGCTAAAACACAGAGTGGTGCATTTTCTTAGAGAGGTTATGGGACGATGCCCAAGACAGATAAGTGGGTGTTTATTAAAAATTGAAACATGTTCGCATTCATCTTTACATCCATCAGTTTGTCAGACATGAAAAATTGACGCTGCACTACCTGTGCTGCTTGAATAAATGATGAGATCGGAAAGATGTTTCAATACAGAGGGACAGGCATATGAGCTCATGCGCCAGAAGCCCCCGAGCACAGCCCAGCACGTTAGCACAAGCGCTTAGCCTAGCATGCCGTTGTACACACCAGCTTTTGAAGTCACAAAGAATGTGAATGTAAAGATAAGAAACAAGCAAGAAGAGAGCTACAGGAGGACATAGAGCTCCACCACCACTGAGCAAAAGTGTGGTAAAATTACCTTCATGGACAGCTTTGATAAGCTATAACGGCTACAGGGCTGGAGAACACAAAACACATTTCACAAACCAATTAAACAAATACAAGTACATGTTCATACAGCTTCTTCACTAGGGCTATCATAACCAGGGCTGTGTTTCCCCAAAGCATAGTAAGCTTAAGTGCATCGTACACCAATGGAGCTACGATCAACTTAAGCTTGCGATGCTTTTGGGAAACACAGCCCTGGTTAACTAGTCAGATAATAATATTTGGACTTCTTATGTGTGGTTTTGCAGGACATTCAACATTAGATTGTCATCTGATATCACCAGATTCAAATTTAGACACACGCAAATCCTTTTGGAAAGCAATCCTTTCATTTGTCTTAATTTTGTGAAACGTCATCATAGATTTGTGATTTTTCAGTGTAGAATCAAACATTTTGTTGGAGACCTAAAATCAGGCCTAATTATTATTACAGTCACATGTTGAATTATTTTAATGTAAACAAAGCCAGTGGATTTTTACTACAATCAAAGATTGTTAGAACTAAACAGAGTATTACATACTGTAGGAGAAAAAAAATGCTTTCATTCAAGGAGGTTCTGGCTTTAAAGTCTTTGATTCTGCCTTGTACTGTTATTGTTTAAAACTGACCAAAGAATCTATAATATAATATAACATAATACAATATAACACAATACAATACAATGCAATACAATATAATATAATATAATATAATATAATATTTTTTACAATTCCATTTGGACATTAAAGGGATAGTTCTCCCCAAAATGAAAATTACCCCATGATTTACTCACCCTCAAGCCATCCTAAGCGTATATGACTTTCATCTTTCAGATGAATACAGTTGGAGATATATTAAAAAATGTCCTGGCTCCTCCAAGATTTATAATGGCAGTGAATGGGTGTTGAGATTTTGAAGGCCAAAAATGTGCGTCCATCCATCATAAAAAAAGTGCCCCACATTGCTCCGGGGGGTTAATAAATGTCTTCTGAAGTGATGTGTTTGTGCTTGAAAAATATCTATATTAAATACTTTATAAACTGTAATCTAGATTCCGCTAACTGTCATCGCTTCACTTATTAACCACCCAGAGCCATGTGGGGCACGTTTTATGATGGATGGATGCACTTTTTTGGGGCTTCAAAATCTCAACCCCAATTAACTGCCTTTACAGAGCTTGGAAGCCTTTTTGGGTGAACTATCCCAAAATTGATTTTGTTGATTTCATGGGGTCTTTCACCAAATTTAGCTTCTAATGCAAAATGTTAGCCTACTATTGTGCTCCGAGTTAAAACCAAATTGTGCACACAAGTACAATGTTCTTTGCGTTTGATTTTGCAGCTTGCCTTCTATTTTAGTTTCTGCTAATCGAAATGAAAGTCAGTGCTGAAATGCTGAAAAAATTCCAGCTTTTGCAGAACAACACTTCCATTTCAAACGCACTGCTGCACCTGCGCTGCACATTGTATGAGCTGAAGCATTTCCCAAAACTACATCACAATCTGGCAAAAATCACAGAACATGATCAGGTGTGTGACCAGTTATACCTGATATTCATCAAAACAGACCTGTCATTCTCAGGGTCATGTGGGTTTAAAGTAAGTTGCAAACCAAAGCGTCATCTATCACAACAGTTGAAATGGCTTTTAGGAAAAGCTTAGCGTAGGTATCCTGGGAAATCAAGAGTTCAGCTCAGTTCATGTGCTCTCAGGACAGCGTTCTCTGAAGGATTGAGCTCTCCTCTGAATTAATCATGCTTCAAGTGAATTCACTCATTCTCAGAAGACTGCAGCGATGAGACACAAACCGTTTTCTCTTATTTGACCAGAGGGAGAAAGTAACTCTCTTGCATTTTAATCATAGCTTTACAAAGTGCTTTCCATCCTGGGGATAAAATGCTTTCAGACGTTCCATGCACTATGTTCCACATGTTCAGAGAAAGAGACTCAAATAGATATGCCTCGCAAAAAGGCGCAACAATTTAAGCGAACCGCTGTCTGGTACACCCACATCCACTGCAAGACAGAGGGGGGCTGGCAATGAAAACGTAATGAGGATATATCATTAAAAGAGAGAATTATTGCAGATCAAAGACTCTTTCAAGCCTGTGGCCATGCCAACACTTTTGGCTTTGTTTCTATGAATACTGTGTGATGAATATTACCAACAAAGGCCTTCATAAGAACTGCTTTGTAGTCAGTATTTCCAGTGCCCACGTAGTGTTTTTTTTGTTTTCACTGAAGACTGAAAATTCAATCACTTATGCATCACCATGTCATTCTGAACCAATGTGACCTTCTTTATTCCAAGGAACACTAAAGGTTAAATGCTAAAAATGATTTAGCTGCTCTTTTCCATATTGAAGGCCAAAAATGTGCGTCCATCCATCATAAAAAAAGTGCCCCACATTGCTCCGGGGGGTTAATAAATGTCTTCTGAAGTGATGTGTTTGTGCTTGAAAAATATCTATATTAAATACTTTATAAACTGTAATCTAGATTCCGCTAACTGTCATCGCTTCACTTCACTTATTAACCACCCAGAGCCATGTGGACCACGTTTTATGATGGATGGATGCACTTTTTTGGGGCTTCAAAATCTCAACCCCAATTAACTGCCTTTACAGAGCTTGGAAGCCTTTTTGGGTGAACTATCCCAAAATTGATTTTGTTGATTTCATGGGGTCTTTCACCAAATTTAGCTTCTAATGCAAAATGTTAGCCTACTATTGTGCTCCGAGTTAAAACCAAATTGTGCACACAAGTACAATGTTCTTTGCGTTTGATTTTGCAGCTTGCCTTCTATTTTAGTTTCTGCTAATCGAAATGAAAGTCAGTGCTGAAATGCTGAAAAAATTCCAGCTTTTGCAGAACAACACTTCCATTTCAAACGCACTGCTGCACCTGCGCTGCACATTGTATGAGCTGAAGCATTTCCCAAAACTACATCACAATCTGGCAAAAATCACAGAACATGATCAGGTGTGTGACCAGTTATACCTGATATTCATCAAAACAGACCTGTCATTCTCAGGGTCATGTGGGTTTAAAGTAAGTTGCAAACCAAAGCGTCATCTATCACAACAGTTGAAATGGCTTTTAGGAAAAGCTTAGCGTAGGTATCCTGGGAAATCAAGAGTTCAGCTCAGTTCATGTGCTCTCAGGACAGCGTTCTCTGAAGGATTGAGCTCTCCTCTGAATTAATCATGCTTCAAGTGAATTCACTCATTCTCAGAAGACTGCAGCGATGAGACACAAACCGTTTTCTCTTATTTGACCAGAGGGAGAAAGTAACTCTCTTGCATTTTAATCATAGCTTTACAAAGTGCTTTCCATCCTGGGGATAAAATGCTTTCAGACGTTCCATGCACTATGTTCCACATGTTCAGAGAAAGAGACTCAAATAGATATGCCTCGCAAAAAGGCGCAACAATTTAAGCGAACCGCTGTCTGGTACACCCACATCCACTGCAAGACAGAGGGGGGCTGGCAATGAAAACGTAATGAGGATATATCATTAAAAGAGAGAATTATTGCAGATCCAAGACTCTTTCAAGCCTGTGGCCATGCCAACACTTTTGGCTTTGTTTCTATGAATACTGTGTGATGAATATTACCAACAAAGGCCTTCATAAGAACTGCTTTGTAGTCAGTATTTCCAGTGCCCACGTAGTGTTTTTTTTGTTTTCACTGAAGACTGAAAATTCAATCACTTATGCATCACCATGTCATTCTGAACCAATGTGACCTTCTTTATTCCAAGGAACACTAAAGGTTAAATGCTAAAAATGATTTAGCTGCTCTTTTCCATATGATGAAAGTAAAAAGGGATCTGGAATGACAAAAATTGTCAATACGGCTTGTGCGGTATATTCCAAGCTTAATGAATCCACAACACAGCCGTGCAGGTCACATTTATGATTTATTTTTGATACATTTATGACTGAGGTCAAACCTGAGATCTAATAGCAGGAGTGGGCTGTAATGCTGTTCTGCTGGATGGGTTCACGGTAAGTGTTTTGTTGTAGATGTCTGTAATATTGTGGTGGGTGAATACATTTGTGACATTCGGTGATAGGCAGATTGATTGTGGTGCCTTCAGGATAAATAGGTGAGCTTGAAATGCTCTTTCTGTTGGTAAAACCCATTCATTCTCCACAAGGGAGGTTAAATTGAGGCCATAGACGCTCAGAAATGCCCACACAATCCCGGCGTGACGGTAAGCTGCTCCTTCTTCCTGCCGGAGGGGATGCTGTGTGCCAATTTAACACAGTTTGACCTACCATGAATTAAAGATTGGCTGCCTCTTTCGTAACCCCAAACTGCCACCACTAATATTGGCACCCAATGGCAATGGTAAGTCTACATTACTCATATTCTCAAGAGCTTTAGAAAGAAAGCATGTTGTTAACTCAGTCCTTACTTGTGAGAGCAGTTTGTTGTTGTCTTCTAGAATCCGGACCTTGGTTTCTAGCTGGCGAATGTAGTTTGAGGATGCATCTGCAAGACAAAGACAGGAACGAGATCAATTAAGATCCTAAAGTGAACAAACTACAGTGTTAGAACTAGTGATTTTCTGTTGACAATGAATGAATTGGTTTATGTTGTTAAATTCCAAAGCAACTTATTTTTCAACCCTAAACAAGACATCTTGTTTTTCAAGATCATCAACACTAATTGGTGCACAATTTATTTATTTTTTCTTGCATGTCATGTGTGGGGCGCCGTACATTTTAAAATTAATCAATTTTAGGATTCAATGCCATAAATAATAGTTCACATGCATGAATAAAATTAACTGTTATATCCACCTCATTTTTAACTTAAAATTCATAACATTTTGGTGTCATTCGCGTCTAGTTATTTTACCTGTACAAAAACAGTCATTTATGTTGCTTCATATTGCACACTGGCATTTGTTATCATGTTATATTAACTCATCATAATTATAAACGTACAGGTTTGTAGCATAAAGTTTTAGAGTTTATTTAGAGTTATTTATCTATAGTGGCAAATTAATCTGAATTTTAGCACATTCACTAAAACTAGCTTACTTAATGGAATAGCTTACTTCTGCATTGTAAATTAAGGTGGATATGTTCCAAATTGTGATGTGAGTATTTTTTAAATGTCAAATTCAAAAACGGTAATACAATTTTTGGGGCATTATTTAAACTCTTCTGCACTTGTAAAACATCTAAATAGTTGTTTTATGGTTTTGTATGTATGGTTTGGCGTGTATGTCTCTACTGTGTTTATTATTGCAATTTACATTAGGGCTGTGCGAAAAATCGAAATGGAATTAAAATCGCGATTCGACAGAAGCTGCGATTGTCATGCGTATCTTTCAGTGAAGCACGGTTCTGTGATCAGCAGTAAATCTCCATCTAAAGGCCAGAGGGCGATCTCGCGCTGAAACTCCCAAATATGCCTCGGAGAAGAAACCCAGGGAATGCCAATAGCGGTAACTGGATAAACAGAAGATTTAACTGCTTTTATTGATTCAACGTGACTAATAAACACACGATTTTGACAATATATGGTTTATCTGAGTTATTATTATTATAATTTTCATTAAAATAAAGTATATTTATAATGCAATGCCTTTATCACTGCTTAGAATACTATGAAATATGTTGCATGCCTTATTCTGTGTAAGAAGCCACATCATCTCACAGAAGGATTTATTTCAAACACTTGACTGACATTATGAAGTGAGTTTGGAGTAAAAATATGTTATTAAATGTGGTATTTTCACATGCTTTCAGATAGAGCAGCATTTACTACACAGAGCTGTAGTTCACCGAGAAGCTATGCAAACAGCTGTCATTATCGCGAACGATTTCTTCGATTTCATAATCGCGCAATAAAATCATCTGCGATTTTTTTGCGTAACTTGTCAGTGAACTACGGCTCTGTGTAGTAAATGCTGCTCCATCTGAAAGCACGTGATGATGATTTACTGCTGATTACAGAACCGGCTTTACTAACAAAATGCGCATGACAATCGCATTTGATTAATCGTGCAGCCCTAATTTGCATAGTAAAAAAATTTATTTAATTCCTTCCTAGTCAATTCAAGTCAAGTCACCATTATTTATATAGCGCTTTTTACAATAGAGATTGTGTCAAAGCAAAAGTATTAAAAAAGGGAAATAGTGTGCCGTTCTCCTTTCTTTGCTATATGTAGACCTATAGCATATTGTAGTTTGGTTTACTGTCTCCTAGAATCCAATTCTTCAGTTAGGAGTCCATTCTGATTATATTCAGACACAACACTGCACAATAATCAAATAAATCTGATGTGCTGATCAGCTATTTGTGCATGTTAGCTCAGTGAACTGACATGGATTTTTTTATGTGTGGCGGCACGACGCGGATGAGCGTGTGGGGGTGGGGTAGCGAGTCTGTCCCTCTCGCTTTGTCGCTTCCAATTGCATCAGCAATGCCATGACCCACTTCTATAGCCGCCACTGCGGCACAAGGCTCACGCGGGAATCTTCAGGATGGGCCACATGGGCAGCGACCATTAAGCAGTCTTCATGACATCACAAGCAGCCCCTTCCAAAAGCAGTCACACCCAAAACCCACAAACGCAGCAGGGTTTGTTCAGATAGAATTGAGATGAATTCCGACTTCTTGGAAACACGCTGATAAGCCTACAGAAATACTGTCATTCGGTTTCCTTTGAACATCTGTTGCAACACACTGGGCGCTGCCTACTGCGTGCGAGCATGTGTTTTAAATACAAATCAAAAACTGTGTGTGCATGTATGTGTGTGAATGACTCTGTGAGTCTTGAAGGAGAGAAACGGAAAAGAAAAACTAGCAGGAAAAAACTCCAAGCGAAAGCTTTAAATGGGTGTGTGCATGAAGTTGCTGGATCAATTGCTGCAAGATGTGGCAGTCCAAGCAGAAACAACAGTCCCTACAATAATTCATTCCATACAGCCTGACCTCATTCTGTTAGAAAACTACAGCATGGCAGACAATGAAACTTCAATTAAAGAGAGGCGGGAAAGCTACAGACCAGAGATAGGGAAAAAACCTATTCAATCTGTCTGAGTTTAGAATTCAAACTTGGCCAAAAATAAAGTCCGACTCCAAAAAAAAACTTGTTTAAAAGTCTGCAAACCTTTATTGTCTCACCGGAGGATATGGGGAAGTAGGAAAAGATGAGAAGTAAAAACAAAGAATGTTAGAGAAAGACAGGAATAGATAGACAGCGAGAAGTCATGTTTGGATAGTGAGTTAATGTTCAGGCTCTAGATTGGACTCCAGTTGGTGGAGTTTGCTGTCACTACTGCTCTGTTGTTCATTAAAGGGAAACCAGAGGAGCTAGGATTACGTATACTACACAAACCCTAAACAAAGTAAATGCTTAGGTAAAATTTTCTTGCCAATTTCCCTATGAAAACTTTTTACTGATGAGATGAAGATGAAATGAAAGTGTGCCCTCTTGACTTCGCTGTTTGATCGCTTGCATCACTTCTGTTTTTCTTCTGTTTCCTTTTCTTCTCGTGTACTCCACCACCAGGGTCCAACTAGTGGCAACATTAGGGCCTTTCGCACCGCGGGAACCTTTTCATAGTACCAGAACTAATTGTGGAACTACCCACTTTTTGGCGTTTTCGCACCGCCAGAACTGGGTGCGATTTTAGTACCGGACTGCCTTTTTCGAGAACCAAATTAGCTCCTACTCCGGACCAGGGTCTACCCGGCACAACTGGTACTAATCATTGATTGGCTAGACATTGATTGGCTAAACTCGTACGAAAACGCCCTCACCCGCCATGATTTAAAACGCCGTGAGAACATACTGTAAACATTGTGTCAACTTATTTCGCAAGTATGGAGAACAGCGATAGATGGACGGACGCTGAAGTGCAGGCACTTGTAGCAAAGGTAGCACTGCCAGTTGTCGTTGGAGATTCTTAGTCCTCCTTTCCGTTCTTTCAATCGCTTTATGCGATTTTAGTACCGGACTGCCTTTTTCGAGAACCAAATTAGCTCCTACTCCGGACCAGGGTCTAACCGGCACAACTGGTACTAATCGTGACGCAAGTAGACATTGATTGGCTAAACTCGTACGAAAACGCCCTCACCCACCATGATTTAAAACTCCGTGAGAACATACTGTAAACATTGTGTCAACTTATTTCGCAAGTATGGAGAACAGCGATAGATGGACGGACGCTGAAGTGCAGGCACTTGTAGCAAAGGTAGCACTGCCAGTTGTCGTTGGAGATTCTTAGTCCTCTTTTCCGTTCTTTCAACTGCTTTACGTATACGTCGACTTTCCATGTCCATTATTGTGAAACCTGCGAAACACAACAAAAACACAGCTCCAATCACAGCGTCCTCCATCCTCCTGTTGTTAATGTTGTTGTTCTTCGTTTCTGTTGTTGAACGCCGCGCACAAATGACGATGCTGTCGACCGGCTTACGTCACTTCTTAGTACACACTCTTAGTGCGAATGCAACCCTTTAAATGGTACTGGTATAATAGTTTGCGCAAAATCGTCCCAGTACTTTAGTACTGTACATTTATTTCTGGAACTAAAGTGGTGCGAAAGGCCCTAATATCGAACACACCGCAAAAACTAGGCCAATGGACGACAACAACAACAACCCAATACTGACTGACCATTGTCTTTGTGTGTCCATGCCTTATAGACTTACACCGAAGGTGAAGGTAGCAACCACCAGTTTAAAGCATTGGATTTAAAAACACTTTAAACTGTACCAGATAACTAATTCAAACTATTTCCAGCTCATGGATGATTTGTTTTTTTTGAACCAGCAATATTTTAATCTGTTTACTTTCTGCATGACTAAACAAAAATACTAAACCATTTCAAAATATTTTTCCCGAACACTCCCTTGCCTGCTATTCATCAGGCCACAACAGGTAAACACATCCCACTTCTCAATAACCTCACACCTTTGGTTGCCATGTTGTGCTTGGTATTCAAACAAACAAAGCATCATGTTAAAACCACAAGCAGCGTGACATTTAACATAAATCTATGTAACTTCATTGAAAACAGCTGAAATCCCATCAAAGCAATATAACACTGGACTCATTGTATGGACAAAACCAGAAGAAAGCAAGTCATTACCGTACACCTTCAATCATTACCTCAGCTTGGTGAGTTGTCTTTAGTTTAATCATTGACTGCAACAGCGACCTTGATCCTCACTTTAGCACACAACTACAAATGAAGTAATTTACTTCAGCCGAGTTGCCTCCTCAGGGAGACATAAAGTGTTGTTTATTTACTCTGGTAAACTAAGGAGGGTTTTAAAAGGCTATTTATGTCTTTAGTTTACAGGGGAAGTTTGTAAAATGTTGGAAAACTTTTTGAGGTTAAAATACATTTTCCTATCCCATTCTAATATTCAAAGACAACTGTACAATCATTTTTAGGTTGATTTTCAAGAAAGTGTAAACAATGTGGTTTTGTGGCACATTTATTTGTATAGCACTTTACAAAGCA